TTGCGGGTGAGATTGTGGAGGTTCCCGCTGCCGAACCCTTTTGCGCCCATGCGCTTGCGCCTGCCGCCGTCAGCAGCAAGTCTGGCCCACAGGGTCGAGGGGGCCAGCTCGGTGCTCGAGGGTCCGCGTTCCTTCCAGCACAGGGCCGGGCTCCCGCGCGCCTCCCACCCACCACGTAGGCCGGCGCTGCCAAAACACCCAGCGCCCACGCAGACTCTGAAATAAAGGCTGGCTTTTCCCCACGAGCTGGCTCCGTCCCGGGTGCCCGGCACGGCTCTGCACACGTGGCGGGAGAGAGCGACGCAAGCCAGACGTGAACCGCGGACGGGGGAGTAATACCACCGCCACAGAAATCCGCTCTCTCGGAGCGGTTTCGTGTTGTCCCTGCGTGCCTGGGATTTATTCCCTGCTCTGGCAGGGTATGTTTAGGGAAAAAGGGAAGAGGATTATTTCTAAAACCTAGTTTTAAACGCGATTTCATCATCTTTTGCCTGGGAACCGCCGCGTGTCGCAGCTGCCAGATAATTTCCGTGCGAACCACCTGTTTCCAGGCACTCGTGCGTTTCTGAACCAGTCACCCTTTTGGGCGGCATCTTCCAGCCTTGGACTCCCGCCAACTGTGAGGGCGGCGTGTGCGTGCGTGCGTGCGCGCGTGCTGGAGCAAAATCCCTCCGGGAAGGGGGGAGGGGTGTGTTTGGGGGGGGGGGGGGGGCGCGTGCATCCTTCTCAAAGGCGCACGTGCGGCCCGGGCGCCCTGCTCTCCCCCGCCGGCCCGTCTCCCTCCTCACCTTTCCTTTCACCTGCCCGGTGCTGGCAAGGAAGTTTCTTTATTCTGTTGCGCTTTAGTTTTGGTTCTGAGCTGTGCTGCACCGCGAAGTCACCGTCGGCAGTTAATTGCTCTCGCGCTCTGTGTCCCTTAGCGTGTTGGTTACACTGCACGCTCGCACCAGGCTCCCCAGGACCGGCTGATTCATAAATACACGGGGAAGAGGGCGGGAGCCGAGCGTCGGGAGCCGGTGCTTCGGGACAGATGACGAAGGCTTGGTGCCTCTGCGAGCGGGTCGAGGCTCGCCGCCCCAGGAGCGGCACGCAGCACTAGGGCACGCGCCACGCGGCGCGCGAAGCTGCTGCTGCTGCTTCCGCCAAGGTGCCCGGAGGGGCTGTCACTTCCAGGGAGCAGCGGAGGGGTTTCAGGCAGCGTCCCTGCCACACAGATCCTGGCCTCGCCGGTTCACGTGTCGTGTCCTGGCCTGAATCGACAGCCGGGCTGAGTCTCAAGGATGCGGGTCCTCTCCATGGGGTCCTCTGCGTGACCCCCGTCGGCGGGACGGAGCCG